CAAGTGTCTTTTACTGCTGATTTCCAGCCTCTGCAGTTCTTCCGGAGCAGGATGTGCTAGAAAGGAACTTTATACAACATAGCTGTGTGAGCTCCTGTTTTTTGTGAAGGAGGGGAACTGACTTAAGTCTGTGTGCTAACAGACAGTTTTCATCTGCATCAGGCTGTGGAAGTCTCTTGTGGCAGATCGTATCTGTCCTTTCTGTGGTCTGGTGAATAAACAAAGTAGTCTTTACTAATTACCTATTTCTTTTTGATAGGTATGAGCTAAGAGAGCTCAAGTAGTTTTCTGGTGTCTTAAGACATGCTCATGTAAATATAACCACAAAATAGCATCTCTTTGAACCATGCCCCAAAGAGTCCTTCATCATAACAGCTTGGCAGGGTCTAGATATCCTTCCCTATAAAGGCTGCACAGCCGGAGGAGGTGAATCCTATTAGTGTCACTGCAGAAATAAAAAGGATTTTGCTTTTTCTCTGACATAGAAGGAGGTCTTGCAAGGGAAGAATCAAGCAACAGTTATGCTCAGGAGGCTTATTTCCATCGTAGTCTTGTAGCAATGGTAAGAGCAAAATCCAGGAAGAGTAAGAAATATAAGACTCAAAAGTTAAGAAGTGCCACTGCTGAGATTATCTGGATTTATGCATTTACATTGTGGATTGACTCAGATAGTATGGCTGGGAAAAACAATGTGTGTAAAGAAGTGACTGAAAGTAGTCATTTATTTTCCCTTCTCAGTGATGAGGGGCAATGGCAGACCTCTGAAATTTGGGGTTGTGCTGCCTTCAGCCAGCCTGTACAAGGATACTAAATGATGAGTGGTGCTAGAAGTAGTACACTTGCCTAGAAATGCATACAGAAAATTTAGATACCTGCATGAAGGAGAAGTTGCTTCAGGATGAATACATTTGAGAAATCTGTATGCTTGCCAGAAAGGTTGTTAAAGCTGCCTTCTGCATGAATGCTGGGACCGTGAAATTTCAGATAGAAACCAATTAAACTATTGCCATAGTTCTGTGTGCGTTTCTGGGGTATGGTTTGCATTTGATTTTTTTTTCCCCTGGCTGCTTTCCTTATTCTGCTATCATTAGTCCATACCTCATTATATTCTCCTAGAGTGTACACCCCTCTTGCTTGTTAGGGTGGTGAACGTGGTAATTTGCAGTGGTTCAAAGTGCTGAAGGGAGCTAATCAGCTGGGTAAGTCACTGCTGGATGGGCAGAGTGGTTTCCTGGCTTGCTGTGCACGGCTCACTTATCTCGCATTGTTTAGGGGACAGAATGAGGCAGTTAATGGAAAATGTGATAGAAAAGCTCTAACTTACCTTCCTAGAAAAGAAAAAAAGGTAGGGCTGAATGATAAATACAGGGGATATATTGTCCTCCACTAGTAAAAGCTGTAAATTGAGGGTCTTGGACTCTGTAGCAATGCCAGTAGAGAACAGTTATACACAGTGGTCTGGATAAAATAACACTATAATGTGCTGTGGTATTTTTCCATTTTCTTCCTCAGGTAGTTCTCCCTGAGTTGGTATCAAGCTGCAGACAATTCTTTTGCCACAATCAGACTTCAGTCTGGCTACCATGTAGCATTTATTAATACTTGGTGATAAATACTTGCGATGTCAGGTTATTTTTTCCTAAGTAGTGTTTCCTCTTTGTTGTAATTTTTTCCCCAGCTATCCATTGCAATCTGAATCCCAATGGTATTGATCATCCTGTCCCCACAGAAGGTATTAACCTGCAACTTGAAGGTGAAGGAGTTGAATCACCCTCCGTTAAGAACACACCAAAAGGGCCCGAGTTGAAAGAGACACCCAAGAAACATGTGGAGCCAGAAATATCTAAGGTAGGTTGAACTGGATCCTTCTTTGTTTCAGCTGACCTTGAATAATCCAAGCACTTTGGCATTCTTACTCCTGCTTGGAAAACATTTGTCATTCTGATAAAAGCATGTAAAGCTAAAAAAAAAAAAAAAAATTCCGAGGAGAATGGGTGATATGGAGGGGAGGTATTGCAGTTGAGTTTCAGCACACACACATATCTTGGGTAATTATTAAGATGACAGAAATAATGGTATTGTTCTTTCTGACATTGTGAAGACAAATATTTTCTGAATTACTTGAGTAAATAACAACCAGAAGGGGAATATATTTGGGTTGTGCGGGATTTTCTGTTTGTATTTTCTTTTCTTGGAGCAGAAAGCTTCTATGGGTATATGAATATGTGGATTATTATATGGGTATTATATGGGTGACTGGGTTTAATAGACAGTGTTAATTGATTTTAGGTAAAATAAATAAGACCGGTTTTTACATATGTAGTGTGTCAGTGAATAGACACACTTCAGCTGTGAGTTCTTAGAGACAAAATGGTGTGTCTGTTCTCATTAATAAAAGCTGATTGAAGTTCTGCTGTTTCTTGTCCATGTACAATATATGTGACTATGAAATGCAGGTGAATGTGTGTGCTCCAACTATCCTGAGTATAGGACAATAATTGCTTATATTAGGTGTGTGTTTAGCTAGAGTGACAAATAAGAGAATGTAAAATACATTTTAGGCTAGATTCTATAAAAGCCCCATCAATCCCTTTGACCTAAAACCTAAACCTTAAAAACATGCATTTTGAGGGGGAACTTCTGCAGAGTGGAAAATTGAGTTTTTACTGATTTGACACTTTGGGAGTTAGTAGAGCAATTTTTTTTTTTCCTTAAAGGACAAAGAAAAAAAGATGTGTATTATAACAACTGTTTCAATGGCTGAGCAAATAAGAGCATTTCCTGAGGTCACTCATTCAGTAAATGAATTTCACTTTTAGAATAAATTAGCATTAAATATTTTGTGCAGTAGCATTAACAATAAAGACTCGATATGAATTCTCTATTCTTATATTTATCTAAGATGTCTAGTTATAAACGAGTGCATTTTCAACTCATTTCATTGCATCTTTAAATCAGTGAACTGGATTCAATTCAATTCAGGCTGGAGTTTATCAAAATCAATGCTACTAGTAGTGTCTTTTATGGCTAATATCAAGTGAGCTGCTGATTTATCAGGAGCCCTTAAGGGGCAGGCTTGTGCTTAATGATTTGAATTTTCTCTTTGATAATGAGCAGACCAGATTTTGTCTTTCAGACGAAGCTTAGCTAATCGTGTGTTCACGCAGCCTTTTGCAAAGACAAGTGGGCTCTGCCTGTGTGCCACCCTTGCCAGGCACAAACCTGGGCTATGGGGAAAACTAGGGAGGTTTAAGCCTGAGCAAATGTTGTTGGCTTGGGAATGAACTGCACTAAATGAAGCAACGGGGCTTCAACATTTGTGTCTAGTTGACCGGGAGTGTAGCTAGGTAGGGCGCATCTTTGTAAAAGCTTCATGCCAGCAGACAGCTGAGGTCGAGTTGTATCAGTGAGTTAACATAAGGGAGCCTGTGCTCCTACTGCCTGAGCTCTGCCTCTTGGATTGGTAAATGGAAACCTGTTCTCAAGGCTGCGTATCAGTAGATGGGCACAGGGAGAGGAGGGAGGTGTGAAAATATTGATCTCTGTGGAGTGAAGTCAGCCCTTGGATTGCTACACCCAGTTGCAGTGGCCTTATTTAGGAAGAGCTGGGCATGCTTCAGGTTTAAGCGAGAAAAAAACAAACAACAAAACAGGTATCATGTGTGATGGAATATGCTTGCCCTAATGGCATCAATCTAATAAAGGGATTCCTGCTCTGCGTGTGTGTGCTGCTGCCACGGTAGGTAACTTCTTTTCTCTCTCCTTTTCTGTGTAGCATTAACTTTGTGGCCTTTCTCATTTGGATTATGCATCATAGTGCTACATAGTCTGTCCTTCCTGTCTTGCTATACTATAAACTTCAAAATCGTGTTGCTGTGTCCTCCAAATTTTGGGTATAGAGTTGGGTTGGTAACTTGTGAGGGTTTTAGGAGTTGAAGTAAGCTGTTGTTATGAAACTTGATCCGTGCTGTCATATCTGTCCAATGGAAAGATGAGAGGGAACAGAGGAAAGCATTATAAATAAAACACTTTAGACAGATCCATTTGTTTTGTATTTCCTCATTGCTCAGTTGTTTTGTTTTTTAATAATAATAAAAAAAGATTTCTTAGCAACCCTGTGCATTCAAATAATATTAACACATACCTCATATCTTCAGTAGTGAGATTTATATGGCACACAGCAGTGCAATGTGTTAAATGCAATTTAGGAAGCCTTATAGACCATTTTCTGTGCCCTCAGCGCTCTAATTTGTCTTCATTGGGACCAATTCCAGCACTTCAAACTGGAGGCAGCTTGAAGGTTATACTGTCCAAAGGAACAAACAAAACCTGCTTTCCAGTGCAGGATGTCCTTCTTTTTCTCATCTGTTGTGAACTTACAGAACAGTAATAATCAGTTTAAACTTTCCTTTGAAATTTGGGATGCACCAGCAGAAAGTGCAGTGTGGGAGAAGCAGCCCTCATTTAGAAGCTCCCATTGAGCTTCTAAATTTAGTTATTTAGCTATTTAGTTATTTAGCTATTTAGCTATTTAGTTTTTAGAGACTGTTGGAGATTATTTTAAAGGAATTTTAAACGAAAATGGAACAATGACCTTGGTCTCCCCCAACGTCTTCTAGAAATAAGCTGTGTAACAAATATGAGCAAGTTCAGGAAAAGTCATTCATGTCTGAAGTGACGTATACCAGGTAGCAAATTGAGGAAATGCAATGTAAAAATAGTACACCTTTTTCTATTATTTCTATATATGTAAAAAAGGATTTATATATGTGTATTTGTATTCGTATGAACACGCTCTTGGTTGATGATTAATTTTTCAGTATTCACAGTAAATGGTAGGCAGTTGAGTGGATAGACTGTAAAGCTCTTTATTGAGAAAAAAAACAGAGGATTTAGATATTTCTTTTCTTAGCACCTTCTGCATTTAGCCTATTTTCTGTGTGTGTGTATTTACTGGAATTCTTTATGTTGTTAAGATGCTATGTCTAGCCCATTTTCTTCTCTATTTTTTATGGAATTAGCAAATTTTGCAATCTCAAATTTCATGGCTCATTGTATTTACCCAGAAATAATTATTTATGATACAGAAAGTTTTTATAGACTTCTGAATTCCCATGCTCTTGAGTTTTGGCTTGAACCAAAGGTGTCTTTCCTAAAAGATTTGGAAAATCATTTGTCTTGCAGAAATATTAACTTTATGACAGTTTCCCACATATTATGCTCAAAAAGCTGTCTTCACTGTGTGCGTGAGACTTGCTTCTCGTCCGTCACTTGTTAAAAGAAATGGATTTATTCAGGGAGTTTTCATTCTTAACATAAGACATGTTTGTCTGATGGCATTGCTTGCACTATGCAATAGCAGCATAGAAAATATGGTCATTTTAATGACAACCACTGCAGCTGGATTTTTTTTCTCGTGTTAGTAATTGCAGTTTCCTATCTGAGTCAGGCAAATTAACACTCCTTTAAAATGTTCAGGAAAACTGTGAAAAGAAACTGGCAGATGAAGTACAGTGTTTTTAATTTGCCCTCTCTTCGAGTGCTTTATAGACAACAAAAAGTATAGTCTACTGGTGTAGTGTTTTTCATTAATTCTTTGGGGTTGTATTTCTTTCCTTTCTTAATATATATATACACTTACTTCTTTCTTCAAAGTGGCATCAAACAATGCTGAAGGGCTGACTGAAATTAATAACAAGAGGATGAGAATTTATATTGCTTTACTGGGCCCAGCTCAATACTGATGAGAGTGGAAGCATCTACTTTGGCTTCAGGAAGAGTTCTGCTCTCCCCTGGGACTAGGTGGTGTATGTTAAGAGTGCCTGAAGAAATATCTGAGGAGTGAAGCTTTTGAGTAATAAGGATATTATAAAAATATTTTTTAAATATAAAAGTATTATTTTGTCAACTATTTAAGAAAAAAAGACATTATGAAACTTCTCACCAGAACATAAAGTTCTCTGGTATTTTACTCAGTAGTTGAGGTTACACAGTGGTGTTCTTTTTAATCAAGATTATAAAATGGGTGGACTGAGATGGACTGCATCTACCAAGCATTGGTCCTGGCAATAAGTAACATACACAGTAGCTGCTTGGTACATTCTAAGCAATTGAATATTTTGGTTCTTTTTTTTTTTCCTAGCTTATTCTCCTCCTCTGGTGTGTGCAGAAAGCCTGAAGAAGAACCCAGATGCAAGTGGCCGAGGTTAACAAGTGTTTTGCCTGGCAGAGTGAAGGTGCAGCAGAGCCCTGATGGCTCCGTATGGCTCTAAGTGGGGTCCTGCTTGCTGATAGGAAGTAGGGGTCTGCATGCACACTTGTTTCTCTGGGATCTAGTATGGGTTGTAATAATCAAGAAAAAGTAGATACAGGATTTTTACAAGACTAGCAAAAATAGCTATGAAATCTCCATGTACAGCATATCTGACGAGGATTTAAAAATACTTCTGTTTGGTAAATGTTGATGTTAGCAGCTGGCATATGCTTCAGGGCGGTGTGCTTCCCTGGTGCCTCATTTGATAGTTATTAGTAATACACAACAGTGGCTGGGTTTCTGTCTTCATTTTAGTAGCGCTCTCTTTCTTGTGCTGCATGGTTAAAGTGTGTGTGTTGTCTTTCTGTCAAGCATCTAAATTGGAGGGCTGAAATACTCATGTGTCCATATGTTTTGCTCTGTGTTGCACTGAGTCTGAATAGCCTGGTGGTAATCCGCTCACATGCACATGTGTATGTGCACACGCACTCCCTTTCTTAATGCAAATCATGACATTGAACTTGTATGGCTTACAAGGGCATTTTTTTTTTAGAAAAGAGTAATCTTCTCATCTGGGAGCAAATACGTAATAAAA